CTTAACTGAAAAAAAAAAAAAAAAATCCTTTTTTTCTCTCTCTCTTGATTCCCAACATGGTAAGTTACATACCGAAAGCTTCGTAAACCAAGCACGTGCCACCAAAACAAAAAAGCTACACAGAGAAAAAATAAATCAAAAAAAAAAAAAAAAAAAAAAAAAACATCCTTTATGTCCTGAACATAGCTAGGTAGTCTCCCATCTGTGGCTCAAGCTTTCCCTATGATACTCCATGGCTCTACTTCTCAGTGTCTTCTGACTATCCAGTGAGACCCGTCCTGGTCTTTGGTGCAGAAGTCTGCTTCTAGTTACTCCAGTCTCCACTCGGTACTTTGATTCACAGTCACTGCTCTTAATGACTGACTCCAGAGCATAAGTTTTGTCTTTCTCAGGGCTAAGACTGAATGCTGTACTTTATCATAAGGAAAAGCTCTATCATAAGCAAAGACACTCTGGCCTAGAAGAGAGTTCAGGATAGTAAGTGTGTATTTAAGATAGCTTGTCTTTAAGTGCCCTTATGGCCAGGGAGCTCACTGCCTTCTATGGCCAATGCACTGGATCTGGACAAGTCTGACTTCAGAAACTATTTGCTTATTTTTGCTGACCCTTCCTCCTTGGTCATTCTTGGACATTGGCCTTGACTTATCTTGTTCACTGGGCATTTGGTACTGAATGAAGATTGTAGTCCAACATATCTAATGCAGACATCTAAATTTTAACAGGGTTTGGAATAGGAAGCAGCATACTCCCTTGAGAATAGACGTGTGTGTGTGTGTGTGTGTGTGTGTGTGTGTGTGTGTGTGTGTGTGTATGCATGCAGCTTCTTCCACATCAGGTGTTAGCAGGTTTTAGCAGTAGGAACTTGTTCTCTGCCAGTTCCACTGTTTCTTTTGAAACTGCTTGTCTTTGAGTGTCTGCTTTTGTAAGCATTAATAAACATTTCCTACATTTGAAATCACATGTTTGCTTAATGATACATCTCTTTAGAGACCTGGAGGGGTTTTTTTCTTCCAAATAATCACAAGTCTAATTATCTGCATATTAAGTTTAAAATCTCATAATAGGTTATAATACTTAGATTCATCACTTCTGCCTAGGTTGTTTTGAATATTGTGACACCCAGCTGTAAAAACAAAGGTACATGCTGGTTTAAAATTAGCTTCCATAGGTGGGCCTTTGAGACTGAAGCATCCCTTGTTGTTTTCTAACACACTGGAAGGAGAAGTCCATGCTCTGCTGTTGCCACCTCACCACACTGCCTCCCGCTGACATCACATTGCTGTCGTTCTTATGTATTCCAGGTGCTGTGATACTCTTGGGAAGAACCAACATGTTCCGCTTTAACCATCCAAAGGAAGCTGCCAAGCTCAGGGAGAAGAGGAAGGTGAGAGAGAACGTGGGGGCTGACCCCATCTGGGGCGGGGGAGTCTCCTAGGTCCTACCATTTTACTATCTGGGACTAAAGCCTAGGGAAAGGAAGCTCTATAACAAGGTGGTTCCAGGCAGTTTGTTTACTGACAGATGATGGAGTAGGAAAACCAGCAGCTAGAGTCCAGAGCTCACAAGAAAAAGCTGTTCCTTTTAGACCCTTCTTGCTAGTCTATGCATCCCCAGAAGAGCCAGGCTTTGTGTGGCATTGAGTGAGTAGTGACTTGAATCTTCCAGAATCGGTCTAAGTAGCATAGCACTGAATCACTCTTACCACAAGTCTGCCATAGTAAATTGTGTTTTTCACTTGGGTAGGAGACGGAGTGGGGTGAGTTTAGGACCATTGAGAGAGATGGGCTTGGTTGAATGGGGCCATTCAGAGGTCTTATAATGATGGAGGAAGGCTGAAGCCCACGGAAAGAGAGGACCATTGAATGAGAAGGAAAGAAATCTGCACCATGGCCTTTCCTTAGATTGCTGAAGACAGTAAAAACTACAGGTTGCATTTTCATGTGCTGGGAACTGTGCTCAATGTATGCAGAGACTCTGCCATGATATCAGTACAGCAGCTGTTAGCACCCCAGTTCACAAGTAACTGAGTGGGAAATTAGAGTAACACAGACTGCCCGTAACAGGCTAAAGGGCAGGAGATGGGCAACCAGGATCTCAGTCCTGACCTGCAAGCCTGAAGCCTTTGTTCTAACTACCAAGTGACAGAGTATTTCATGCCACTTCTTCCTGTAAAAGGGCTTCCCAAGGCTGCCAGACCATTGATGGAAAATGAGAACAAAACTACACCCCTCAGACTGATCCGGGACTGATGATCCAGCCAGTAAACCTTCTTGCCCATTCCAGCCCAGGGACACTCTGGACAGTCCCTTTTAGACATGGTTCCAGAAAGAGAGATGGGGAAAACCTGTCTGCCAACAGCTTTTCTTGGAAGCAAATCGACCAGTTCTTAACCTTTTAGACCTCTCCTCACCTATCCCTTTATCTCTATCACTCAGTAAATGTGAATGTTGAAAGCAGCAGAGATAAAATTTCTAACCTCTACCCAAACTTCAATGCAGTGTAGCTAGGAGGCTTTCTTAGCTATGGAATGCCTGGTGAATAAAGGGGCTCATTTTGGGGTTAGGTAAAAACCTGGCACAAGGGAATCTCCCAGGAACCTACCAGGATGACTCCAGCTAAGACTCCTAGCAATAGTGGATATGTAGCCTGAACTGGCCATTTCCTGTGACCAAATTGGTGACTGCCCAATTGTCATCAGAGAGGCTTCATCCACCATCTGAGGGAAACAGATGCAGATCCACAGCCAAACATCAGGTGGAGTTCAGGGAATCTTGCAGAAGGGAAGGAGAAAGGATTGTAGGAGCCAGAGGGGTCAAGAACATCACAAAAAAACTCACAGAATCACCTAACCTGGGCTCATAGGAGCTCACAGAGACTGACTAACAACCAGGGAGCCTGCATGGGACTGACCTAGGCACTTTGCATATATGTGACAGTTGTGTAGTTTGGTCCTCTTGTGGGAACCTAACAGTGGGAATAGGGACTGTCTCCAACTCCTTACTGGCTTCTAGGACCCTACTCCTCATACTGAGTCCCCTTACCCAGTCTTAATACATGGGGAGGTGCTTAGTCTTACTGCAACTTGATATGCTGTGTTTTGTTGATGTTCATGGGAGACCTGCCTGCCCTTTTCTGAACAGAAAGGAGGAGGAGTGGATTGGTGGGTGGGAATAGAGGGGATTGGGGGGTGAGGAACTGGGAGGAGAGGAGGGAGGGGAAACAGCAGCCAGGATGTAAAATAAATAAATAATTTTAAGTGGTTTCTGATACATAAAGGTCCGACTATCCCTCATCTGCCAGACATTAAGCATTCACATGAGTGTGTGCATCTCATTGCCTGTCACTAGTGGAAGACAATGGATGCTGAGCACTGGCCATCTCTTACCCACTAAGGTAACCAGTCTGCTCTGTCTCTCCTCTTAGAGTGGCCTTCTGTCCTCCTTCAGCTTGTCTATGACCGACCTCTCCAAGTCCTGTGAGAACCTGTCTGCAGTCATGTTGTATAACCCTGGGTGAGTGAACAGCAATGTCTCTTCCCTGTGATTAGTACTGTGATGGTATTTATGGTGCCAACTACGTTATAGTCACTTGATGGTAATAAAGCTTGGGCAAGGGCACCTCCTCAGCATATCAACCGCAGTCATCTTCCAAGTTTCTTTCCAGCCGGTTTCCAACTATATACATAATTGTACTTAGTTATAATCACAGTACAAATGGGATTATGTTCTCTGATTTTTTGCTTAACAACATAATAAGCATTAGCAAAGATGGTTACAAGCTTCATTATCATTTTCATAACTGTCTAATATTTTAAGTTGGCACTTTGATTACCCAGTGCATGATCCCTTTGGCTTAAATGCTTTTATCTTGTTTTTATAAATTATCTGTAATAACAGAGGCAGCCTTGATCTTAGGGCATTCCATAGCCCAGAGAATTATCTTCACTACTTTCTGACATCAGGGGATGGCTAAAGACACAAATGAGAGTGTTTTAAATGAGCTTAGCAGCTGGGTGACCTTGAGTTGTTAGCTTAAGTGCTCAAGTCCTTGGTGACTTCATCAATAAGATGGCAGTGATAATGGAAACGTCTGGAAACACAGAGCCAGATGAACACTTTTGGGTACTCCCCAGATTTGAGGTTCTGCTATTTCATGCATCCTACCAAGAGCATCTCACATAAAATAATGAGCTGAAGGAGTGAAATGAAACTCGGAGGGATGTCTTCTGGAGCTGTCCTTTGTTTGGCATTTACTTTGTGGTTTATGAGTTAGAGCTGTGGTGCTGTCCAGGTCTGTCTGACTCCTGGACTTTGTTCTCACTTCATCACTCCTAATCCGACTCCAGTTGGGGGCCTACTGCCATGGCCTGTGACTGCTCCTTGAGGTCCAGTCAGTACTCTCTGTGGCGGAAAGCAGATGCCTCCAAGGAATTGTTGCTTCATTGTCCTGGGAAGCACCCTCAATCACATCTCTGCCTTGTTCCTTTTGGAGACCAGCAGACTAAAGCCCAGATCCTGTGTTATGAGCTAAAGTAAAAAAAAAGCCAGTTGGTGAGACACAGGGTCTGCAGATTTCTGGTAACCCAAGCAGTTTGTTTTATGGTGTCCAGCTTCATCTTCACCACTCAGCCTTTCAAACTTCATATTGTGTGATGTTATGCATAAGGAAGTTCTGCTCATTAAATAATTCTGTCTTAAAATAAGACAAATGTTAGTGAGACCCTAAAATACAAGAATCCTCTCAGAGCCACTGACTAGGCAGTCTTTCTGAAGGCATGAGGTACTTTTAGTTCTTAGGATTTGTAATGGTTTTCTCAGCTGCTTTGTATGGTTGCTAAAAGAAATCACTCCTGGCTTACATCATTTAATATATTATGCTGGTCCGAGGCATTGATATCAATAGTGTGATCCTGTCTGTTAAGTACTGTTTGTCTAGTCAAATAGACTCCCAGCTGAAGACTCGGTTACCCCTGGAATCCGGCACACCTTTCCCCATCCTCTGTATGGTGGAGCCCTTTAGTTTGCTACCATTTGGAAATTTAGTTTGTTATCTTTGAAAACAAAAAAAGTAATCTCTGCTCAGGCCACTAGCTCTCTTTCCTTTGTGCCCATATGTATGGTATTGAGTTCTCTCAATTGTGTCCATAAAATATAGAATATGTAGTCTTATTAAAAGTGTTACTATATTTTAATTGATTTGAAGTTCAGTTTTTTTTCCCAGTATTGATAAAATGGCATTCCTCAAAACTCTTCTGACTTTCGTGTCTGCAACTAAAACGTCACATCAGTGACTCCCTATGGTCACTCAGCATCCCCACTACAAGTACATATTGGCACATCTCAGTGCACCTCAGTGCAACCTGGCACCTGGCACATCCATCTCATTGTATCTTGGCACATCTCAGTATATACCTCTGCAAGTTTTGGGCCTTCAGGTTGTGACTGTGACTCAGCTGTGTCTGAAATAACCTGTGCCATGGGAGCTGTGTCTTTGCTTGTTCCAGGGGCTGGTACTTGTTCTTCCTGCCACCTGCTCCTGCAAAGCACCATCCAGATGAACCCATTCTGCGGGCTAGTTTCAGCTGTCATCAAATGAAATGTCCCTGTTCAGCACACACTGCTGCATTTCTGTCATCACTATTTTATTATTCTTTGTGGAGACAATCCACCCTTCAGCAAACTCCTTCTGAGAACTTACTATCAACCAGACTCTAGGGTCGGGGCCTTTGGTATTGGCAATGTTCGATATCCATGCCAGCTGGAGGAGAGAATCAGCCTGTGGGTGACTGGAAGATCAGAGAGGTAAAGGTGAAATGAAGTGTGATGCCTTTGGGGCAGTGTTTGGCAGGAGTGCTCAGGGAGAACTTCCTGGGTAGGAGATCTAAGACTTGAATGGGGTGAAGATGACAATCAGAAAACACAAGGGAAGAACGGAAAACATCCCAGATAAAAGAGAAGGGAACCAAAATGCTTGAAAATCAAAATGCTTGAAAGTTGATCAGAGTAAGTGGAGTACAGAAAGAAGGGGGATGCAAGGGAGGTGAGGGCAGTTGGTGGCAGCCTGTGTGGGCCCATGGTGGGCACTGTAGGGAGTGGTGTTGGCAAACATGAGAAGCCTTTGGTTGGGACAGTAACCTGAAGGGCACTTACTATGGGAATTGCAGTGTAGAATCAGGATATTGTGAAGAAAGCTGTTTGTTTAGACCATATAAATGATAATGGTGGCATGAGTCTGGGCTTTAGCCATAGAGATATAGAAAAGTGAAATCAATGGGGTAAGGGGAGAGTCCAGGTCTCAGATGTAAACTTCTGGGACAGATGTTGTACCCTTTCATATAATGGGCCAGACAAGGAAGATGATTACAGGTGGACAGGTGATAAGAATTCTGTCAACATGAGCATCTGTCTTGTTAAGTTGGAAGCTTTGTGACCTCAAGAGTCTTGACTTACTTTATTTCACAGTGGCATGCCTATCTCCTGGTTATTAATAACTTAGCAAATAGTTTCGGATTGAAATTTTAGTAAGACATCTGAGTCTTCTAGGGTTTTTTAATTTTGGTTAATTTTTTATTAATTTCCCTGGGCATGGGCATTATAATTATTGAGATAAAGACATACTGTGTAAAGTGGTACAACCCAGCGATAATGCAGTTACTTAAATAATTTCAAGGTCATGTTCTGATCCCTGACAAAAGGTGGTAGAAGGGAGGGAATGTCTTATGATATAATGGGGAAATAAGCAAAGGCAGTCAGGAAACCCAAGGGAGAAACAATATGTTTTCAGTTAAATTACAGCTGGTAGCTTCTGGATGCTTCTGATATGAGCATGATACATCCTGTTCACCTGGCTTCAGACACATTCATGTAATACTTGTTGGTACAAATTCAAATAAAATTATTTAATACTTCATCATACCTTCCTTCTCCTTGGTTCCCAGTCCCCTGCACTTGCTACCTGCTGCAAAGAGTGATTACCCATGAATTAAAATATAATTGAAGAAAAATTGCCTACTCTGACTTATGGGAAGGCAGACACCTCATTATGAAATTGTTGGCTCTAGCAAGTGGGCAAAATGAAGCATAATTAAAGCTATAGCCATGCTGTTTTTACCATCTCTCTCTCTCTCTCTTTTTTTTTTATGTTGCAGGTATAAATACTCTCAGCATAAATTAAGCTAGAAGAACATTGAAAGAAATATGTTTAGTACCTGGGCCCTCATTAAAGAGTTGTTTAATTCCAGATAATCCACAGCTTGGACTCAGAGCATGCTCATTTCTCAGACAAAAACGTCAGGCTGTGATGCTCCCTCCAAGCAGTAGGTATTGCTGAGGATCTGCTGTGTGCTGACAGCCTGCTAAGTACCAGACCTCCAGCTCTCTATGGAGAGCCTGGGAATACAGGCTTGTCATGGCAATGCATGTAAAATGAGTGCAAGACAGCATGCAGTTCAGAGCAGAAGACTGCTGTGTGTGCAGCCTTCTCTAGGATCTGGTGGGAAAGTACTGCTGTGACATGATGTACCTAGGAAGGCTTCTCTTGATGATGCCACGCCCCCTTTGGATAGCCATTACCTAATGTGTTGGGTGACATAGAAAACCAGAGGTCCTGTAGCTTCCAGCAGCAATCTTTATTAGGATTGACATCACCTGCAGCCAGTACCTTGGAATCTGTGAAAGTTTGATTCATGAGAACCATTTGTCTTTTTTTTGGAAACCGAATTATTATTTCCTTGCATTGGCGCCGGTCTCTTGTGTAGTTGAGCTCATTCTCAATGGCATAGAGTGCTCACACCCTGAATTAAGTGACTAGAGTTCTTGTCACAGAGTGAATAGCAGGATTACAAGGAGTCTTAAGTAAACTTTCTCCTCTGTAGTGGAGATCGTAATGTTCCCAGCCTGTAAGAAGAGAGAGCCTTTCTTGGAGAAGAGAGAGGCAGAGAATGCTAACTGAAGACTTAGTCCTCATCATCCACCTTCCAAAGACTTAGAATCACTGCCTGACTTTGTACCAGAGATTTCACTCTGATTTCCAGGGGAACTGTGTCTTTGCTGGCCCCTGACTCTTTGCAGAAGGAGATGTCACCTGCTGAGGAGGTCTGTCCACTGCAGGAAAAGTAGAGCTTTCCAAAGAGCTGTGCAGAGGGACTCATGCTGAGAGGAAGAGAGGAGGGGAGCCAGCAGGGTGAGGCCCAGATGGAGCAAGTGAGGTCCCTGGAAGCCTAGCACTACACTAACACTTGCAGTTTGCTTTGATAAACCCACAGAATTGCTCTTGGGGGTTGTATTTCTGTGTTTTCCAGGATGGATTTGGGGTACAGCTCAAGTTCCTAAAGTATGAACATAGTGTTGTATATGAAGATTACATCTATAAATTCTTACTAGCCCTTTAAGAAACCTTCCTCAGAGCTAGGTAGGTAATATATGCCCTTGGTCTCAGCACTGAGGAGATGGATGTGCGAGGATCAGGAGTTTAGGCCCAGGCTTAGCTGTGTAGTAAGTTCAAAGCTGCCTGG